GGTCAACAATTTTACTTCATTCATTTAAAATATTAAAGTATAAAGAGAGAAAATTAAGCATCCTCCAGCAATAATACTGAAGTACAATAAAATACAGAGCAGATAGGTCATCGCAGAAGATGATAGACAGCAGATCCAAAGCATGCTTCGGATGCGTCAAGAGGGTCTTCACGGCAAAGCCAAAGCCGGTGATTCTCAGGTTAGTCACTATATCATGTGATATTGAAGTTCCCGGCATAAAGCACAAGGGTTCGACTACTCTCCATGAGAGGGAAGAAGATACGTCCATGCTCAAAGAGATGGAAGAAGGTGGAATTGAACTCTTCCACTGGGAGTAGATTACAGGATTTGAGAATCTATAAAACTTTGTTCTTCTCTCAAGAGAGAAGATATCCCGCTCGCAGAATACTGGATTTGAGAATCCATACAACTTTGGCTCTCTCCTACGTGGAGATATGAATCTCGACGAGTGATAAAATGAAGCACATTGAAGGCGAATTGGTCTCTCCAGATTCGATTTGGAGGATAGAGATTTTAACGAGTTATGTACCAACTTGCCCTTCCTGAAGCGGAACCGTGGACGGTTATAACAATCTTTACTTTTGCTGGGTATTTTCTCATGATGGGCCTTATCTCTTGGTAACCCAACCGAAAACCCAGAATGGAGGAAGGTTGGCTAGCAGTCTTGGGCCTTAATGGGCTGGGCCTTGTAAGGTTAGCATGATGTGTAACAAAGCCCATCACCACTTTTCGATTGGTGGCTGCTCGGACCCGAGACCAACAGCAGCGATGGTTGGCAATTTCCGGCGACATCGACGGGGCTGAGTGATGGGAGCCGGAGAACGAAGCCCAGTAGAGCGACGCCGTTGACTTGTACTCGGGATCCGGCGGATGACTCGCCGTCGCCTTTATCGGTAAACACCTCGACGGAGAACGCAGATTTGCACATGATTGACTGATAATGCAGGGGTAGGGGGTCGTTACATGAGAGGGATGGTGAAGGACTTTTAACTCGGAGACCCGAGACTCCACCGATGAGGTCGGTGGGAACTGGCCTGAGATTGATAGGTTGAGCCAGGAGAGATGATGTGGCGACTCGGCGATGAGCGATGGTGCAACCCAACCCTCGAAGCTCCAGATCTGGTGCCGCTCGGATCTGGTAAGCTTGCCGGAGTAGAGGGACGGGCGTAGGTTTTAGCAGTGGTGAACGAAGGTGAAGGAGTCGAGGTTGTATCCGGAGGGTCTGGGGGATCAGGCGGTTCTGGTGGGTGTCGACGGCTCAGCTGCTCCGGACCAGTCCTCGCAAAGAGAGAGAGCAGGTCCTCCGGTATCACCCGGTCGGAAGTTGAAGCCAATCGCAACCACATTTGCTTTGCCGTAACAACCATGGGTGAGCCACAAACGAAAGTTCTACGGGGGAGTTTGGAAAGCCCCGAGAAAGCACGAGAACGAGCTTGTCAGAAGATGCCCATGTCGGAAAAGTCGTTGCGGCGGAGGAGGGCTTTTCTACGGTGGAGAAAGTGACCGGTGCGGCGGTCTAGTACATCGGGAAGTAGGTGGGCTTCCATTGGAGAACGGGCCTGAGGAAATTTGAAAATCGTACGGACCTGGGCCGTATTTTTTTTTGTTTCTTCTTCTAAGTTTGAATTTAGACTTCACAAAAACATATAACTAAAAGTATAACTGCATCTATAATGTAATTGGGATTCAAATAGAACTTGCATGTTTAAATCTTGAATCAAGTAATTATTGGTAATCTATAAGTTGATGTTAAATTTGAGAAAATTGACATATATTGGATTATAATGGAATCAACACAACAAAGAATCTTGACATTTATTTGTTAATAAAATGTTTGTTTTCTCAATGATATTTTTGTTTTGACTTTTTTTTTTTTGGGATAAAAATACTTGTTTGAGTTGCTTACATGTTGAAATATTACGTTTTAAAAAATTTGAAATATAGTTAAACGACAATTTTATTATCAAATTAATGTACAACAAAGGAAAATGGATTTGCGTTTACAAATAACTTTAAATAAAAACATATTAAAATGTGGTTACACTTAAAGTAAACACACTATTTTAGCATGTATACATAAACCCGACAAACACAAATAAAACAAATAATCAAAGTTCTAAAAGCCCAACCATTTCACTTATTTCTATCGGCAATAAAAGTAGTAAGAGCTACTAAAGGAGCCACCTTTTCGGAACTAAACCCTTGAAGATGTTGCCGCGCATCTCTCGTCAATTTCTTAACAAATTCTTTAGATTTCTCTAACCCCAACAACTTCGGATACGTCAGTTTTCCAAGGAGCTGATCCTTTCCGGCGGTTTTTCCCAATTCTTCCGACGACTTTGTCTCATCCAAGATATCATCCACCACCTGAAACAACAATCCAATGCACCTTGCATACTTTCTCACTTGCTCAATCTCTTCATTAGATCCACCTCCAATAATGGCTCCAAGAACAGCAGCAGTTTCCAACAAAACCGCGGTTTTATGAACATGAATAAACTCCAAATGCTCTACGCCGACCTCGTTTAACTCCAAACCTTCACTGCTTATATCCATCGCTTGTCCCGCAACTAACCCTCTCGTGCCAATAGATCTAGCCAATTCCCTCACCGCCCAAACCATTTTCTCCGGCGATATCTCAGCCGTTGTCATGTGCTCGAAGGCGAGAGACAAGAGAGCTCCGCCTGAGAGAATGGCGACTCCTTCGCCATAGACTTTGTGCGTCGTGGGCTTCCCACGACGCACATCGTCATTGTCCATACAAGGCAAATCATCTTTGATTAGAGACATCGTGTGGATCATCTCCACCGCGCAAGCCGCTGGCATAGCGGCCTTTTCTTGGCCGCCTACTAGCTCGCAAGAAGCAAGGCAGAGTATAGGCCTAACGCGTTTTCCGGCCGCGAGAACCGCGTAACGCATTGCTTCGTGGATTTTGAGTGGCTCCCCTACTGGAATGGCTTCGTCTAGAGCTTTGTTCACTGATTCGGCTTTGCTCGTCATGTACGGATCAAACTCGAACATAGAACTGGAAGTTGTACCCACA